TTTCTTATGTAAACACTATATGTAAAACCTAAGGAAGGAATAATGGAAAAAATTTCCTGTCTTCTATTGAGTGCTATACTAGAAAATGCTCAGTCACAGCTTGCAAATCACACTATAGCTAAAGCACATGAAAGATGGTGTTGATTATGACACTTCAAAGTCAGACCACAAAACTGTTGCCAGGAAGCAAAAAAGCAGCAACTAAAGAGAAATCAGCAGTATGGGCACTGCTCCTCTACCAGCATACTCCTTATATGGCTAGGGTTGTCCGTTTACTTGTCAGAAGTGAGGTGACAGTATGGAGTTGGGAATTAGTCTAATTGGGTTTTTAAAAATGGATTTATGATGATGCCAAAAGCCTTATTATATCCTAAAAACACCATTTTAATATTATACATTTGACCCAATAGGTTCTTCCAAAGCCTTAACATTTTCTAAGTTTGCAACTATAAATTCAATGTTTTTTTAAAACAAATTCATCATAAATAGCAATTAAACTTCTTTCTTTTTTTGGGGGGGGGGGGGGGGTCCAGTCGTGGGGCCTGAACTCTGGACCTGGGCGTTATCCCTCAGCTCTTCAGCTCAAGGCTAGTGCTCTACCACTTGAGCCACAGCGCCACTTCCGGCTTTTTTCTTTTTGCTTATGTGGTGCTGAGGAATCCAACCTAGGGCCTCAAGCATGCAAGGCAAGCGCTCTACCACTGAGCCACCTTCCCAGCCCCTAAACTTATTTCTTAGCAAGCAAATGAAAATTAATTGATTCTGAACTCAGGGCTTTGAGCCTGTTAGGCAGGTGTTCTACCACCTGAGTCATACCCTCAGCCTTGTGATTTCCTGGTTATTTTGGAGATGGAATCTAAAGAACTTTTTCTGCCTATGCTGGCCTCAAACCTCAGTCCTCAATCTCCTGCATAGCTAGCGTCACAGGGTAACAGGGGTTTCTAATCTTTAACTTTTTTTTTATCTTAAGACTTCCTTTTACTGACAAGTCACATATTTTACAAAGATGCTTCAAATGGCTCTCTTAGAAGTTATAAAAATCTGTTTTAAAAACAGGATGATTTAACATGTCTGTCAGGTTGAAAAGTAGGAAATTACAAAACTATTAAAACTGTAATAGAACATGTACCTAATTCAATATTGGATTCCCTATGGACCTATCTCAGGCTTTTATAATGGCTCAAATGGTGTTTCATTTTTTCCCATGTAACCAAAATTTAAATTGCATTAAGGTTTTGAAATAGAATTAAGGTTTTTAAATAGGTTAGTACTTAGAATTTTTAAACTATGAAGATATTAAAAACATGCCGAGACTCTATAACAAAATCTATAACAATGTTACATTTATTTCACAAACACAAGTTCTATATGTGCAAGAACAATATTCTAAGTATCTGCATATGAAGGTTTCCAAGATGTATACACAGGTAACTATGAAATAAAAAATAAAATTCAACGAACAGTGAGCTAGACTCTGGAAATGTGAATGATTGGGTCTTTATTCTCCCAGTTTGAACACAGACTTCAGTAGAGAATGGCCAAATACTACAGTTTTTATACAATTTGAAAGATCAGAAAGATCCTTTTTGTTGGCAATTGAGTCAAGTTTTAAAGAATGACTAGAACTAGTGGTCAACTAAAACATGGCTACTGGTTAGAAATTAAAATACAAATACAAACTGTTTTAATCCTTAATTTAAGAGGAGAGACACAAAGTGGTAAAATTTGTTGGAATATAATTGGAAATCACTATGTAAGCCAGAATAATACAGAGTGAGAATAGAAATAGGCAAAGTATTACTATAGCATAAGGATAAAAATAATAACAGTAGGAGACAAGGAAAAGATACAAATATAATTCTGAAGAATCTGAAATTGGAGATACACACAGAGGAAATAGTAACTAGAAGGTTTAACTTGATTAGAGAGGTGAAAGTGGTATTAATGAGCAGAGATGTTTTGTTTCTTATTCAATTAAAATACATTTCTGACTGATTTAAAACTATCAACTGCATTAGCATTCCGATAGAAAAATAGGATCTATCATATATATTCATCTCATGTAATATTATATACAAAATATGTTGACAAAAGATTTTATAATAAAACATATAAAAGAGATTTAAAAACTAAGTTATAACATACAAACCTAAGTTTGAAAGGCAAGACTCCTTTGAAGACACCACAAAAGTTAATGTACATACAGTAAATGTTATGCTGTTGTAAGGAGTGAATTTGTATTTAAATATGCTAAATATGTTAAAATGCAGATATATAATCACAGGTAGTTACAATATCAGAAGCTAATGAAAATTGCACTCTAGGCCTCAATTTTAGGGAAAAAATAATTGGTTTCATATGTTGACTTTGTACAGTTCTCCAGCTGAAAGAAGGAAAAAAAGGTAGTCTAGAGATTCATGTAACCAAAAAAAAATATTTCTTCTATAGATGGCATTTCTATAGGATGGTTGTAAACTGAATATTTTTTCATGACATATAGAGAGACCATTCAACCAGTGAATAAAAGTTTAAATATAAACTACATTAAAAATGTAAAGACAGTACTAGGTTAAAAAGCGTAAAGGCTACAGTTTTCCAAAACTTTCCTAATAATAAGATTTAGGACACTAAATTGAAAACTAAAAAAGAAAAAGTGGAATAAATTTTCAAAACTATGAACCAATACATAATTTAGTAAAAACATTTAGTTTTTCTATGATCCTGCTAGAGATTAAGTTAAAAAAAACTATTAAAGGCCTATTCAACAAATCAGGTCATTTTAGTACCAAGTATTTTATACAAACAGCATTTCTTAAAAATTAAAAGTCTGTGGTTCTTAAAAAGTCTTTTGTTACCTTTCATTATCTAGTGTTCTGTATTTCTGCAAATGAACTACTTGTTCTAACAGTTACAACTGAAAAAAAATATGAGACAAGTGTGGAGAAAATTTAATAAAAAATTTCAATGCTCATCTTTTAGAGATTCTGACTTCACAGATTTAAGAAATGTACAGATAAAGCTTACAAAAAGGTCTAATGTAAATATCCACCTTCTCCAAACTAACCAGTGAATTCAGTTACTCAAAAAGACTCTAGTTAGGTCTGATAATTCCTGCAACAGGTACAATTGAAAGGGGGGGGGGGACTTAAGTCCTATTACACGTCATTGTCTTGTATCACCTGAACAACTATTATATTCACATCAAAAATCATTTGATAATTTTCTCTTCCTCCAAGCCAACACAATTGGATTCCTCCACAACAGTGGCAACCAATTTTTAAAAAACATGTTGACAAAAATCGTTATTTAATTATTCTGACATCAGACATAAAATTACGAATCAGTTTCATACAAAAACATGTTAATTACAAAGAAAGATGAACATTTTTTCATCACATACATACTACCATTTTTGATGCCCAAAGTCACTTTCATTCTCAACATAGTACTTTTACCATCAAGTTATACTAGGCTTTAAAACAAACTTCCGCCGAATAAAGTTCGCTACACATTATAGGACCACACTATATTCTCATTGATGTGATTCTGAATTCCAGATTTGTCCTGCCATTTGTCAATCATTTCGATCCTACCAGGCAACTTTGTAAACAAAGGCTCCATGCCAAGCTTGATATAATTTGATTAAATAAAACTTAAAATGGTCATCACACAAACAGGAAGCAGTCAAAGGAAAGGTGCCAATGTACTCATCCCTTTTAAAGCGGCATCAAGTTAATATTCGTAAAAATAGAAAGCCTAAAATTTCAACCCACCAAACTAGTTTGCTACTCAAAATAAGGCTACCATCCTGCACATTCCATCAAGGCAAGTGTGAAGTATCTAGTGAGTCTTTTCACTGTAAGGAGGTTTACTAGTAATCCTAAATCTCCAATAAGAAAAAGGGCAGAGTCTCATGTCACCTATCACCATCACTTATAAATTGCTTTTTATGCACAACCGTACGGGTTGTGTTGCTTTTGGCCTGTTAAAGGCAAAGCAACATTATCTCTCGATTGCCAATAGTTTCTCCTTATTTGGCTAACATTGAGAGATCCCAATCAGACTACTATAAAACTTTAACATGCACAAAGCATCCATTTTGAGAAAAGTCGGTGGCGACCAGCTTTCTTTTTCCTGTCTTTTCTTGTTTTCCCACCCCAAAAAGAAAAAAGTTGGGGGTTTGATAACCGGCTTTCAGGCTCTGCACGGCATTTGTTCTTTCTGGCCCTAGGTGCACACCCCAGGACTTAGACGGAGCCCGCGGATCTCTGACACTGCGGCAAACCCTACGGTCGCCGTCCCGAGGTGGGCACGTCCTTAGGGAACTCCTTTGCCCTCAACACCACCATCCTCTCCCTTTTCAGCCGGCGCAGACCAGCTAATTACACCCCATTCTCCCCTCCCCGGTGACCAAGAGTAATAAAGGAGAAAACAGGAAATCGTTCGCTCGGGGCTCTCGGCTTGGGTCTCTGGATTACTATTATTATCCTCATCATTGGTAATCAAGACCTGAAAAAAGTACCACAAACGCGCTGCCCACCTAACAAGCTAAAGGGGGTCCATCTGCCCAAGCGTCTCTCAAGCGAGCTCCTGGCTAAGTCTTTCTCTTTCAAGACTCCCCCAAATAGATCATTGACACCGTGCCCCCCCCCGGCACAACCACGACACTCCTCCCGGTCTTGACCCCAAACACCAGACACATATCCACAAATGGCTCGGGGGGGGGTCCCCCAAGACGCCCACAGTCCCCTTCTCCCCCCCCGCCCGTACACCCCGGAAATCACCCAGCTCCCAACTCCGACAGCAACTGGTCAGAAGGGGGCCTCCAGCCCAGCGCCCTCCCGCCCTCCCTCCCGCCCTCCCTCCCGGGAAGCCGCCCCCTCACCGCCGAGCCGGGAGTCTCTCTCTCGCCGCCCCCAGCTTCAGGAAGACCACCTTCCCCCACCCTACACCCCCCATCCTCGGGTCTGGGATCGAGACCCAGCGGCGGGCGCACAGACCTGATGGAGGGCAGTGAGTCCGTCCACATTGGCGTAATTGATGTCGGCGCCGCGGTGCAGCAGCTTGAGGACCTCGTCCGTGTCGCCGCTGGAGCAAGCAGCCAGGAAGACGGCGCCATCGTCGAACTTCACCTTGGTCTTCTGACGCTTCACCACGGGAGGCTCGAGGTCCGTCTCGGAGCCGATCCAGCGCTTCAGCTGCTCGTTCCGCTTCTGCTTCGCGTCCGCCATCTTCATCCCCTCTCCGGCCGCCGGGTCTTCTTATCGCGAGGGGGAGGGGAAGGGAGGGGAGGCGGGGAGGGAAGAGAGGGGAGGCCGGGGGGTGTGTGACTGTCTCGATGAGTGCGGGCCCGACCGGGGCTGGGAACCGGGAGGAGACGCTCGAGACTTCCAGTATCCCACAGAGCACTGGGGCGGCGCGCCCGGGCCCCGCGGACCTCCCCGTCCTACCACAGAAACCCTCCCGCCCCTCGGCGCGGCCGCTCGTCACTGGCGGCTCCTCTAACGTAACTTCGCGAGATCCGGGAAGGGAGTCGCCCTTCGGCTCCAGTGCGCACGCGCCCTAGGAGCTCGGGGGTGAGCCCCGCCCCCAGGAAGAAGCCTTGGCGAGCTGCGGCGGAGGCGGGCGGGCGGGCGAGCGAGCGGCCCGGCCACCGGAGGGAAGCGGGTGTGGCCCCGGCCGCCGGGGTTGCGCGGGGCGGGACGGGACCAACCTGGAAGGGAGGAGACCGGGGGAGGAAGGTTGTCCTTGCAGGACTTGAAGGCTCCCCCCCGCAAGAGGCCGGCAGCCAGAGCTGCGAAGGTTCTTGCGGGGCCCGCGGCGGCCTTAGCGTTGGCGGAGGCCTTTCCTCTCGGTTGCGGTCTTAGACTGGAATGGAGGGTGGAGAGGTCGCGAGTTGGGGTGTTTTGCGGTTGCTCTTTCCCAGGAACGTGGGAAGGGACGGCAGGGGCGGAGGGGGGGGCGGCGGCCGCTCGGCCCTGGAGACGTTTTTCAAAGTGGAGGTGGTTGGGCCCAGTTCCCCGGGTGACCCACCCTGGGCCCGGGGTTGGCCTGCGGTGGTCGGGGGGGGGGTCTTTCCTCTGGAGCTCGCTTGCTCGTCACTGCGATGCCCCCCCCCTTCCCCTCACGCCGGGTTTGAGTCCTCGTCCACTTCCTCCAGTGCTGGGAGCCTGTGGGACACTCACCCGTGAGCGTCGCTCGGGCTCGTTAACTGGTCCTGACCTTTTAAGGGATTTCTAGTTCCCAACTCCATTGCTTGCTAAGGAGCGAAGACCCAACTGCTTCTAGAATTCAGAAGGAATGTTAATAAAGGGAATTAACTCAACCACTACTTAGCGCATACCTCTTTCATAAGCCGAGACTTACTAGGCACTGACCGTGCAGTGTTTTAACCACCTCTTGAATTCTTAGGCCGAGGAAGGTATGTGTGTGACGACACCCCCCCACACACATACACACAATTTGTAATGCTGGCATTGTAGAAGTTATCTTCAATCTCCACTAATTGGTATTTTCCTAAACACCTTCTTGTTACACACGATTGTTAGAGCCAAAATAAGTGATGAAAATTAACAATTGAATGGAAGTTCAGAGGTCATTTATCTACCCTGAACCCTAAAGACCTAGTTTATTCCCTTAATTTCACCAAGATAGGATAGGATTCATTCAGCAAACATTATACAGTTGTATTTATACGTTGAATTTAGCTTTCCTTCGAAAATTTTGTTTATCTCGTTGGAAATATTTTTATTTTTTGTTGGTTGTGGGGCCTGAACTCTGGGCCTGGGCACTGTCCTTTAGCTCTTCAGCTCAAGGCTCGCACTCTGCCACTTTGAGCCACAGTGCCACTTCTGGCTTTTTCTGTTTATGTGGTGCTGAGGGCTTCATGCATGCAAGACAAGCACTCTACCACTTAGCCACCTTTCCAGTCCGTGGAAATATTCTTAAATTGCTACCTGCCTGTATTTTTAGGGAAGATTTTTTTTTAAACAATTAATTGCTGAAGACCTATGGCTAAAGCCAGAATAAGGCAAAGTAAACCTAAAACCGAAGTGCAAATTAGGGCTAGGGTTGTAGTTCAGAGGTGGTACACTTGCCTAACTCTGGGTTTGATCCCAGCAACTCACAAAATAGTGCACATTAAACTGTACTGAGATTAATTTGCTATTTTTCTCAGAAAAATCATTCATGATAGTGCAAATCAATCTTATGTGCACAGTTGTGTACATAGTAGAATTTGTACATCCTTTTTAAAAGTTTATTTTTCTACCAGTTAACTAGCTTTTCTATACTTTATAAAAAACAGTAGGTGTATATTATATATAGTAAAGATATATATACATACAGTACAGATATATACACATATTATACTAAAATGTATATAAATATATGCACACATCACAAATACAGTGCTATGTACTAAAATTTACACCCATTTTTGGTTAGTGCATCTTTTCCCCAGTACCTTTTATTATGCAATTTGAACTATGTTTTGGTACATATGATATTGTTAAATGTACTCATATATTTATGTTTTCATTATCATGAATTTAAACTTCTGATTCTAAATTATAATATATATCTATGCAATTGAGAATATATTAATAACAAGGCACTTTGCTTTTATCTCCAATGTTTTATTTAAGAGCCTGGAGAAAAAGTTATAGTATGCTAGTTAGCATCATACAATTTAGTCTCAAATAGGCAAATTACCAGGCCCAACAGAGAACCACCTGAACTTGCTTTGGGCTGCATTTATTAACAATCCTAATTTGTGGATTATAGTATCTAACACTTTGCTTGCTTCTGAGTTATAAGGTCATTCTGCACAATTCTGGTGGTTAGCTCTCTTCTGAGTCATCAAGATAAATTTTTTTGCCACATCTGGCTTCAGCCAAAGAACCTAACCTTAAAATGGAACAAGGTGATATTTTTATGAAGTTGTACTGGTCTACTAAACTTGAGAATCAAATGAGTGTCTGGCCATAATTAAAAAATTGTTTTCATGTTCATTGTCACAATATCAAATGGCCATTATGGGAATTATTTAAGAGCTACAGACATTATTTAGTAAATGTTTTTTGTTAACCTTTAAAAATTTAAATTATTTAAAGAAAATGTATTGCTTTAGTAAATAAAAGACTGTAGAAACTAAATTAAAACAATTATTCTAATAAGCCTATGAAAGCTCTGAACCCACCACCTGTTCTCAATTTGTAATAAAGATTATTGATAAGGGTCAGACATATTAGTATCAACCTAAACATGTTTTTATACAAAAGATATTGATAAGAGAAGAACTTTTATTCGCTAAGAATTTCACTGTTAATGGTTTGTCTACTTGAAATTATTCTATGTATAGTACAAAGTATACATGTTTCGTATATTGGAAAACTGTCTTACTTTAATTACCATATCTCATTATTAATGCTGTTTACAGGGTCTTAGTTGCATACTTCTATTGGTATGAAGACTAGCACTGGAAAGCCAATATATGAAAGTATATAAGTGCTTTGGGAGGAAACTCAAAGGAACTTTAGACCTAAAGAGTCATGTTCCTTAGATCTGAAATTACAACAACTGAAGGCATCTTAAGGGATCCATTCAATTATTCTTCAAATTAAATCCTTGTAAAAACAAAATTCTTCCATAAACCAGAGTGTGAAAATAGGATAAAATACTAGGGAAAACAAAACTGTAGTGATAACAGAGAACATTGCAAGTAATGATACTGATTAGGCTCAGTTTGGATACAGAAAACAAGTTAACCTTATGGGCTTATTTCAAAAAGTAAATGAATAATGTATGAGAAAGAAAGATAATTGTGTGTGTGTGTGTGTGTGTGTGTGTGTGTGTGTCTTCCTTTTCCTTCCTCATTTATGCAGACTTGATGGCAGGTCTCCACTGCTTTCCAAAGGGAGCTTCACTCTATATTACCTACATTGCCAGCCTAGAAGGGCATAAAGGACAAAGTGGCCAAGGCTACCTCTGAAGACATTGACTCTGGATTATCAGGAGTTGGAAGTTGACATTGAATCCAGGTTAAGAATGGAACATGTGGAACTGAAAGATGGTAAGATGAAGATTTTTTTCCATCCTTTTCATAAAATTATATTGAAGGATATATACTAGGTTTAACTGGGCCAGTAGAGCCAGTCTGGCTCACTAGAAGTTAGTGGAATTAAAGTATGAAACTAATTGCTCCAGACACTAACCTAACACTAGATCCTAGGGATGGCTCCATGTTATCAGAGGACTTAAATGATTTATATATTCCATTAGAGAACAAGTTTGAGGGAAAAATGATCTTCTAGAACCCAAAATCCAGTAACAGATTTAAAAAGAAGATGGGCAACAATGGTGTCTGTGTTCATGTTTGGAGAATAGAACTATATTGTTGATGTGAAGGCAACTGAATCCTACAAAAGGCTAAAAGGTTATCTGCCTTAGATGATATTTTGTGGATGGATTAGAGGTCATTGTTATGTTTGCCTGGGCTCCTCACCTAAAACTTCAATCCTCCTGATCTCTGCTGCCCAAGTAGATAGGATTATAAGTGTAAGCCACTGTCCCTGGCCTGGTTTGCAAATTTCTTGCACTTAGCTCTTTAATGGCTTCTCATAATGTAATTATTTTGTATATTATATTGCTAAATAGAACTATACATAAAGCAGAGCTTAAATTTCTTTGTTAAATGATGGTTACATCCTATCTAAATTGTATGCATAAATGGCAAAGGAAAGAAATTATTATTTAATATTACTGAGAAATACTTTTTTTTTTTTGTCAGTCATGGGGCTTGAACTCTGGGCCTGGGCACTGTCCCTCAGCTCTTCAGCTCAAGGTGAGCTGGGCAATACTTTTTAATATCTACCTAGCTTTTAGAAGAATATGTAGATAAATAAGACCTTGATTTTGTGAAGTGCCTAATTAGGATATTTTCATAATTCATTAAATATATTTTCCTGATAATTTAGAAAATTAAGTTTGCTCTAAGATGAAAACAGTTAAGTTGATTCTTATGCTATCCAAAGACCATGTACATAATATAAGTAGATTAGTACCATTTAAAGCTTTTTTTTTTTTTTGGTCCGTTGTGGGGATTGAACTCTGGGTCTGGACATTTTTCCTACGCTTTTCAGATCAAGGAGAGTGCTCTATCACTTGGGGCACAACACTACTTCCTTTTTTCTGGTGGTTTATTGGAGATAAGAGTCTCACAGACTGTCCTACCCAGGCTGGCTTTGAACTGCAATCCTCAGATTTCAGCCTCCTGAGTAGCTAGGATTACAAGCATGAACCACCGGCACCTAGCCATCCAAAGCTTTTTACACATTGATGTACATTGTTTTTTAATTCTGAAGGCAAATATGAATGAATTGCACTTTTTTTTTGCTTTTAAAGACAAATCAAGACACTATTTTTAGAACTAAGATTGTGTATGTGTGTGTGTGTGTGTGTGTG